GCTCCCCTCCCCTCCCCCTCCCCGGCCTCCCTCCGGCCGGACAGCCTCCTCACTTCTCTATACTGTTTTTCACTTTCAATATAGTATTCAATAAATTACATGACATATTCAATACTGTGGTATAAAACAGGCTTTGTGTTGGATGATATTGCCCAAATGTAGGCTAATGTAAGTGTTCCGAGCACATCTGAGGTAGGCTAAGCTGAACTCTGATGTTCGGTAGATTAGGTATATTCAATTCATCTTTGACTTCTGATATTTTTGACTTATGATGAGTTTATTGGAATGCAACCCCATTGTAAGTCAAGTATTCTAAACATTGATCAGTAGGGGAATAGTTAAGTATACCATGGTGCAGTCATACTGTGGATTGGTCTACAAAAGATACCACTGGAAAATCTCCAAGATGGAAAATGAAAAAATCAAATTACAGAACAACATATATATATATACACACACAGATTATATATAAATGTATGTGATATATATGTGTGTGTCTGTGTATATATGTATAGTATATATGTGTGTGATATACCTGCATATGTCTCTGTACATATATATGTATATGATCCCATTTAGATTTTTGAAATTAAATATATGTTTAAGGATGAATATTTATGTATATAAATGAATAGAGAAAGGTCTGGATGATCCATATGAAAACAGTTACTGTTGTCACTTCAGGAAGGGAATAGAAATGTGAGGAAGGGGCTGTGTGAAGATGGCTTTCTCTTAGCTGTGAACACTTCCACAGATGAGTGAGAATCTGGGAAGGATTAGAGGAGCCACCTGAGATCTTTAGATTAATGAAAGCACTCTTACAAGGAATATTTCTTTGAAAGCTTCATGATACTTCTTTGATTCTGTACTCATTGATTATATCTTTATAATTCACCTTTTTATTGTATAGTAAAGCACAGATGCTGAAAACTAAAGAAAGAATGATGTAGCCTGTTGGATTATTATAAACACCAGTCGTTCTAACTACCACCCAAGTTGAGAAATATGATTTAGCCAGCCCCACTCCTGAAAACCCCCTCATGCACCCTGAGCTAATCTTAGGCCTCCTGTGTATAGTTTTATTATCCAATGAAACTGTATGTCATTAATTTCTAGACTATAGCTTAGACTTGCCCATTTGAAAAAAAAAATATGTCTTTTAAGTCTTTTTTTAATCTACAGATTTCTCCTCCTTTCCTTTCTTTCCCTGTAATTCATCTGTTGAAGAACATAGGGCCTTTCACCTTTAGTTGGTCCACAGTCTGGATTTCCCTGATTGAATGGTCTTGACATAGCTTAGATTGAATGGTCTTGACGTAACTTATTGTGTTTCTCTGGATTTTGTGTTTTTGCAACTCCCACTGCAGTTGTCTTATTTGAAATTTAAATATAATCAAAACGAGATGGAACCCATTAATTGCCTTTATGACTTTTTAAAATAATGGTTCTTTGCAAATTAAAAGTAAAAAAAACAAGTCTCAGGGAATTCAAGGGAGTATATAAAGACCATTTGGTGTTTTATGGATCTGATAAGAGACTTTTTTAAGGAATAACAAAAGCTTTTTCATTACAGAATAATTAGCAAAATTAGTAAGATAAAAAGCTTATAGGGTTAGATAGCAGATTTGCTTTACTATATTATCTCCCTAATTACAAGCAGCATTCTAAGAATGCTGAAAGAAAAGAGAATTATTCCATTTACAGAGTGCTCCAACCTCAAATCTGAGTTTGCTCACATGGATATAGGGAGCCCTGAAATAAAATCTGGAGGAAGACCATGCATCTATAAATTTAACTGAAGGTCCTTCATCCCGCACCTCCTCCTGCTGATAAGAAAAGGCACTTTATACTCTTAATGCATTAATTAGAATGTGAGTCCATTTAAAACTTTTCCTATTCACCATCTTTGAAATGCCATGTTGTCAAATTATCGTCATGAACTTTGCTAAGATAAACAGTCCTAAAAAAGTGACAGGTTTAATAATTCCATCCAAGCTGTGCAAGATCACAGGGGCAGGAAAGGAAAAAATTTCAAATTATTTGTGAGGAGGTGGGAAAGTGTTCCCCTGCAGGGAAGCCATCTTTCTTCTGGATTTCATCAGGACTGAGTTTTTCATAAATATCATTTAATACTTTTGATTGGCACTTAGGTGGATCCAAAGCAGTTGCTGGAAGATGGAATAAGGAAGGAGCTTGTGAAGCGTGTTGCCTTTGCCCTGCATAGGGGACTGATATTCAACCCTCGAGCCAAGGTACCCAGTGACCAAAGCTGGCCTGTCCTCTTTTCCACTCAGCTTGCAGAGTGGACTAGAATACTGTTTTTAACCTATTGTGAACAAGACCTTACCTCCTAAAGCAGTTAGGAACTATAAAGGTTATAATTTTTTATTTTGCTTTATCTGCTGGGAATATGGTAAATTTTATTTATTTTTTGAGAAGGAGTCTTGCCCTGTTACTCAGGCCAGAATGCAGTGGCACGATCTCAACTCACTGCAACCTCTGCCTCCTGACTACAAGTGATTCTCATGCCTCAGCCTCCTGAGTAGCTGGGATTTAGGCTCCTGCCATCATGCCTGACTAATTTTTGTATTTTTGAGGGGGTTTCACTATGTTGGCTGGGTCGGTCTTGAACTCTTGACCTCAAGTGGTTCCCCCATCTCAACCTCCCAAAGTGCAGCGATTACAGGAATGAGCCACTGTGCCTGGCCTATTTTTTTTTTTTTTTTTGATGAAGTCTTGCTCTGTCACCCAGGCTGGAGTGCAGTACAGCCTCCACCTTCCAGGTTCAAGCAGTTCCTCTGCCTCAGCCTCCTGAGTAGCTGGGATTACAGGTGCGCACCACCATACCTGGCTAATTTTTGTATTTTTTTTTTGTATTGTTGGGGTTTTGCCATGTTGGCTAGGCTTATCTCAAACTCCTGTCCTGAAGTGATCTGTCCGCCTCGGCCTCTCAAAGTGGTAGGGTTACAGGTGTGAGCCATCACACCCAGTCTGCTATACTATTTAAAGTCTAGTGTAGATATTAGTATTAATAGTTGACAGCTTACTCCGTTATAAGAGCTTAATGTTTCCCCTTTTCCACAGCCAAGTGAACTGATGCCCAAGCTGAAAGAGTTGGGAGCCACTATGGATGGATTCCATCGTTCTTTTGAATACATACAGGACTATGTCAACATTTATGGTCTGAAGATTTGGCAGGAAGAAGTGTCTCGTATTATAAATTACAATGTGGAGCAAGAGTGTAATAACTTCCTAAGAACAAAGGTATCTAATAATTTTTAAAATTTTTGACTATATTTGTTATTTCTCATGTTTAAAGTACACACCCAAACCTCAGAAATGCCAACAAGAAAGTTTATTTCCTAAAAATCTGTAAACACTGGATAGTCTCAGTACATTCAGAGTACCTTCAGGAGCCAGGAGGGTTGCAGAGGAGTAGACATGGCACCTGGCCTGTCGGAGCTCACTGTCCGAGAAGGCAGACATCATTAAATGGCTACAGAATGAAGCTGTTTGTTGTAATTGTTGTAGTCCACGTGATTGAGAGTTTAGAAGACTTTTAGGACTCGTTTGGGTTGGGTTTGACAGGGTATATACTGGGACCTGTAATGGGTAGTTCTATACTTAACTTATTGAGGAACTGCCAAACTGTACCACAATAATGGCACCATTTTACATGCCAAGCAGCAGTGTACAAGGGTTCCAGTTTCCCCACGTCCTAACCGACGCATGTTATTTTCCATTTTTTAAAATTATAGTCACCCTAGTGCACATGAAGGTATCTCATCATGGTTTTGATTTGCATTTCTCTAATGGCTAATGATGTTGAACAGCTTATTGGCCATTATATGTCTTCATTGGGAAAATGTGCATAAAAAATCCTTTGCCCATTTCTTTAATTGGATAAAAAAAGAGCACCAAATGCACAAAAGCCATACCGAGAAGTTTGATTTTAGTAAGTAATGAACAAGGAGCCACTCTGCAAGTGTTTATGTGGGAACTGACATGATTTGGGTGACATTTTCCAAAGTTTAAGTCTATTTCAGCCTTAGGATATTTTGGATTTTTACATGGATGCATGTCAATTTATAAGGCAGAAAGCCAGAAGTCCCCGTGGCTCATCTTCTCACTTCTTTGTCACTTCACCTTGTCACAAACTTTTTGTTTTTCTTTTAATAAATGTTACATGTGGCATTTCTGGGAGACTATTATTAATGCAGTTTTAGAAGTTTCCTATTCAAAACCAAGGAACAGGCCAGACACTAGCTCTTGCCTGTAGTCCCACCTACTTGGGGGCTGAGGTGGGAGGATTGCTTGAGCCCAGGAGGTTAGGCTGCAACAAGCTGTGATTGCACATGACATTCTAGCCTGGACAATAGAGCAAGATGCTGTCTCTAAAATAAAAAACAAACCAGACCAAGCGCAGTACCTCATACCTATAATCTTAGTGCTTTCAAGGCCAAGGCAAGTGGATCATCTGAGGTTAGGAATTCAAAACCAGCCCGTCTCTACTAAAAATACAAAAATTAGCCAGACATAGTGGCACATACCTGTAATCCCAGCACTTTGGGAGGCCGAGGCGGGAGGACCACTTGAGATCAGGAGTTCAAGACCAGCCTAGCCAACATGGCAAGACCTCATCTCTATGCCATTAGCTGGGCATAGTGGCAGATGCCTGTAATCCCAGCTACTCCGGAGGCTGAGGCAAAAGAATTGCTTGTACCTGGGAGATGGAGGTTACAGTAAGCAGAGATCACACCACTGCACTCCAAGCAAGACTCCATCTAAAAAAAAACCAAAACAAAAAAAAACCAAGAACCTTTATTGTCAATCTTTATGCAGTATTCTTTGTAAAATTATGTGGAAAAGGGATAACTAGGTTATCTTATCAAAGGTGTGCTAAATATTGATGGTTTTGTTTTCTAGATTCAAGATTGGCAAAGCATGTACCAGTCCACTCATATTCCAATACCCAAGTTTACCCCTGTGGATGAGTCTGTAACGTTTATTGGTAGACTCTGCAGAGAAATCCTGCGGATCACAGACCCTAAGTAGGTATATCTGAATTCTGCAGAGTCCTGAATAGCATAGGCAGTCTCATCTGCACCCCTGTCCCTGTGGCACAGCCCCTGTTCCAGTCTTGGGGGTCCTGCACTTGTCAACTCATATTCTGACCCTTTAGGACAAGGATTCCTAACCCCTGGGCTGCAGACTGATACTGGTCTGTGGCTTGTTAGAAACCAGACTGCACAGCAAAAGGTGAGTGATGGGCAAGCAAGCATTACTGCCTGAGTCCACCCCCTGTCAGATCAGTGGCAGCATTAGATTCTCATAGGAGCACGAACTTTGCATGTGAGGGATCTGGGTTGTGTGCTCCTTATAAGAACCTACTCTCATAGCACTTTTAATAATAACAACTAATGTTTATGGAACACTTACCTATGCATTCTTCTTAGCACATTATACATATCCAGTCATTAACCCATTTATAGCAGTCTTATGAGATAGGTGTTATTCTTATACCCATTTTAAAGATGAACTAACTGAGGCACAAAAAAGCTTAGTCATTTGCCCAGCATTACACAGTTAATAAATGGTGGACCCAGAATACACTCTAGGCCTTTTGACTCCAGAGCCCAACTCCTAAGCACCGTACTGTGAAGGGCAGACTGCATAGCTTTGTATACAGAAATCACAGTCTACAACTGTTCATGTGGGCTCTACCTTCAGCAGTAACTGGATGAAAATCTCATTTAATTAAAACTGCTCCCAAGAATATTTTAGGTAAGCACCATGGCAGAGACTAGCATGCTGCCTCTCGTAAGTCCAGCTGAGCCAGATTTCCTCCTTTTTCTTCATTTGAGCCTCAGGAGAAGCTGTTGGTACCGAGACCAGTTCGGGGAAGAGCAGGTTCTCATGTCTACCCCTGGGCACAGGCTCACTGAGCAGAAGTGTTGGTGGAATTACCCAAGGAAAAAGCGATTCTCTTTGTTCTCTGTCCGCCCAAGTACGTGTAGTTGACCTTGTGTGAGTTAAATGTTCTTAGGACCTGGATCCTTTGTACTGTCTTCTAATCCAGGCTTATTTTGTCCTTCAAAACTTATGAAAGTTGACAAACTATATATGACCTTCTTCCAAAATTTCCAGCAGAAATAAGGAATTTTGACTCATGGGACAAAAAGAGTAAGTGATTCAAAAGTTGTATAGCTCCTTCTTTCTTGGTACCCTTCAATCACTGAAACTTTTTTAGAAAACTACCCAGTGCCCTGTTAATACAAGGAGAGCAGATTAAGGGTGACCAGAATTTCCACATCATATATAAATATTATCATCAGAATTGGGGACCTCTTCAGTGATGTATCAAAGTGTATTTGGTGGCAGAAGAACTCTCTGAAGCAAGCAGATGAAGTTGTATGCAGTTTGGGAATCCTCTTGTTTTGTTCTCCCAATTTACTTCCTGGTTTAAACCTCCCTTGCTTCTAGGCCCTTTCAGCTCCTCAAGCCTCCTTCTGGTAAAGATATTTGGTGGCTTTGGACAGTAGGTTGTCACCTGTGGAGCTTGCTGAAAATGCAAAGGCTGGAGCTCTCCCCCAAAACTACTAAATCAGATTCTCCAGGAGTGGAAGCTGGGTGTCTTTATTTCAAACAAGCTCCACCACGGATTCAGGGTCCCTCTCTCAGTGTTTGAAAACCACTGAAATGGTGGTTAAGGGTAGTGATCAGACCTATGAGAGCCTCAGTTATCTCATCTATAAAATGAGGATAAAATGGTTTGTGTTCCACAGAACTATTATGAGGATGAAATAACACATGAAAAGGTCTTAGCACACACAGTACCTGGTGCATAATAAGTGCCCAGTAAATATGGTTGGTTGGTTATTGTCATTGTCATCGTCACACTTCTGAATCTACAAGGAATCATTTGGAGATGACCAGAAGATGTCATCTGCAAGTTGAAGGAACTGGGAGGAAAAAGCAAATGGCTTTGTCATCATAGTCTCAAATGTTAGGTAGCGTTTGGAGATTGTAGGTTCCTTTTTTTACCAAATGGAAATGACACAAGGCCTTGTTTTTGCTCCAAACTGGAAATGTAAAGGAAGATAAGAGAGATAAGTGGGCTCTAAAGTATTCCAGCCTGACAGCTGAACCTGATGACCTTGTCTTCTTAGCGTGATTCCAACTCAACAGCCTAACTCAATGGAAATAAGTGACTCAAACCAATGATATGACACAGGGCAGGAAAAGGGGGTCCGACCGAATTTTACCTTCCTGTTCCCTTGGGTGGTCACTGGGAAGATGCATTGGGTGCCTGAATGCAGATGTTAGAAAGCACAGATCATGTAACTGCCTTTCTTCATAATTTGGTGCCCAATGTCCTGTTGAGTCCTAACATTTCTTTAAGATGAGCCATTCTGGGATTTTTGCATTGTTTTCATTTTAGAATGACATGTCACATAGACCAGCTGAACACTTGGTATGATATGAAAACTCATCAGGAAGTGACCAGCAGCCGCCTCTTCTCAGAAATCCAGACCACCTTGGGGACTTTTGGTCTGAATGGCTTAGACAGGCTTCTGTGCTTTATGATTGTAAAAGAGTTACAGGTGAGCCTTTTGACTTTCATGCCTGTTTTCTGCCACCCTGGGGAGAGGCAAGAACATAACTTAGTGGGCAGTTTGAACTCATTTAACTTTTCTCCCATGATTTCTTATACTGACTTTAGACATATGATACCTATCGCGTAGATAAGAGCTGAGAATAAACTAAAATTTCTTTGGCCAGTATAGTACTTTATAGGATTAGACTGTTTCTGTGAGTTTCAACTTGGGAAGATAAGACTTTTTAATCTTTGAAACCAGTGACTTTTCTTAGCAAGGGATGTTTCTAACAGGAACCTGAAGTTGCTTCTTTTTGTTGTCATCCTGTTTAAAGGTTTTATGTGACTTAGGCCCAGTCTCTGTTCCGCATAGCGTTTTAGGTAACTGGAGTATTTGTTTGTTTAATTCATTATGTTTTGTTCTTTGACCATGAGTTTTTGTTTTTAGAATTTCCTCAGTATGTTCCAGAAAATTATCCTGAGAGACAGAACTGTTCAAGACACTTTAAAAACCCTCATGAATGCTGTCAGCCCCCTAAAAAGTATTGTAGGTGAGTCTCCTAAAAACTAGCCTGAGGTGAGGATGACATTGTAGCCTTTTTGAATATACTAAAGAGAAAATTATGTTTTCACCTTTCAGCAAATTCAAATAAAATTTATTTTTCCGCTATTGCCAAAACACAGAAGATTTGGACTGCGTACCTTGAAGCTATAATGAAGGTATGTTGTGGGAGAGGGTGACAGTCAATACTTACATTTTGTAGTTTTTCAATTTCTTGTAACTTTGTTGCCCAAAGAAAGCTACTCTTCTTTCTTTTGTCATTAAATAAAAATAGTTTCATACTTCAGTTTATCATTATTTTAAAATTCATTTTGTTTATGTCCCTTTCTGGAACTGTTCTTGACTAGGCTTTTTAGAAGCCTAGCATTTTCCTTTTGTTCAAGAAAACTGGCATTGTAAAATACCTTTTGGCTAGAGGTGCTTTTATATATGAAAATGGAACTTTTCCTTACACAGTAATACTCCCTCCTTATATAACAAGTTCATTTATACAGACCTCATCTGCTCGAAGCTGCTGTTAGAACAGAACATTGTCTCTCTCCCGTCTTGTGTCTACATGGTTGTTAGGAAGCCAGGTTCTTTGGGGCATAAATTATCCTTATACTATGCATAAAGCACTCTTACTTTGGAAATGAATAAGAAACACAAATGAAGAGATTAATTTGCTGGGTGGAAATCTGACTTATTTTAGAATCCAGCCACCTACTTTCTTGCCTTTACTCAGTGGCAGGAGCTCCCAGGGACCTCTGCATCTTCTGTGAATCTTCTCTCACCACCTGATAATCTGAGATCGTCAGCAGCCCATTCTCACACATCCATTAAACCCAGGGCATTGTCAGTTGCTGTGAGAGACAGAGTTAAATGAAACACAACTGGTCTCCTCAGAAAGCAACTCACAATCTAGTAGAAAAGAGTAGACTTCCAGGTGGAAAACTGATTTGCAGTTAAAAGTATCACATACTGTAGAAATGTCTACAATTCCAGAATGCTAAGGGAATTTTGAAAAGTTCCATTCTCTGATTCCCAGTTATATAAGTTTCATGGAGACAGCACTCATTGATAGCTCAGCCACATTCACAATATATTTCCCGTAATTTTGGTGAGTAGTTTTTGTTGTTGTTGTTGTTGTTGTTGTTGTTGTTTGGGTCACTAAACAGAACAGGTAAGGCAAGGCACCCGTGGCTCTGCTAGATGTCCTCTGGTGTTGTGAGTCTGCCTTCCCCTCGCCTCATGATTGTCAGATACTGAGCACATCCCAGGCCAAGTTTCTAATTGCTGGAAAACCTTTTAGGAGGGATAAAAAATCACCCAAGTTTGGACAGTTGTGAGTCCCAACTCTATAGGAGACATTAGGGGAATTATAGGGATTCTTCCAAGAAACTGGAAGATTTTCCGCTTGTCCACCAGAGGGTTCTCTCAGTCCAGTAGCTGTTACAGACTCTTACTGGTTATAGTTGCCAGTTATTAGTAACAGCCACATGACTGTGTCTGAGTCAGTGATCTTTAAATAAAGGCCCCAAGGACAAATTTGTATTTTTGTCTTGAATTAGGGTGTCTGCAGTCACTGAGCCAGTGTTAATGATCAGGAACGACAATGGAAATGTTCTGTGCTATTTGATGATGAAGCAGCTCCTAGCCCTGTCTAGCTGTTGAGCTCATGAAATGTGGGTTGTGGTACTGGGAAACACAATTTTTAATTTTATTTCATATTAATTAATTTAAATGTAAATAGTCACATGTGACTAGTGGCTGCTATACTCAACAGTGTAACTCTAGGAAAGTCTTGGAGAAAGAATGGTAAGCCAGATATCTTCGAAGAGGCAAATGAGTAGGTAAAATAAGTTTCTCGTCCATCCCAGGCTCATTAGCTTCTCCAGCAGCTTATTAAAGCTTGAGGTTTGTGAGTACCAGCAATGGAAAATGTCACTCACAAAGACTGATTGTGCATTAAACGAGAGCAAGTTATATTAAACTGACTTTATTTCTATTTCCAGTTCTAGATTGATATTTTCAAGAGGATCCTTGACATAGAGTATACTAGACATAGAAAATTAAGCAAAGAATTATATGGGCCAGATACAGGGTTTCTGGGTCATTTTTACATGGCCTGAAAGAACCTACTATTTTCTTGGCTTTGCTGCATTCTAATTTTTAAATAATGCTACTCTATAAATTTAAAGACTTCTTACTTATAAATAGCATTTTTGGATTAATGTTTTTCACATAAGTAGAATAAAATGTATGAATAGCGCTGAAAAATAATACATCTGAGGTCATTTAACACTTTTGACCATTACAAGCTCCATTCAGCTAAATAACTTTTGTTCACTCTTAGAGAAGGCCACTCTCTTTTTTCTTTCTTTCTTTCCTTTTTTTTGAAACAATCTTGCTCTGTCACCCGGGCTGGAGTGCAGTGGCACAATCTTGGCTCACTGGAACCTCTACCTCCTGGGTTCAAGCAATCCTGAGTACCTGGGATTACAGGCACCCACCACCACACCCAGCTAATTTTTATAATTTTAGTAGAGACGGGGTTTCACCATTTAGGCCGGGCTTGGTCTCAAACTCCTGGCCTCAGGTGATCAGCCTGTCTCAGCTTCCCAAAGTGCTGGGATTACAGGCGTTAGCCACTGTGTTTTCCTTAACTTTTCTCTGCCCCCAGCAACTCAGAGGAAATATGTTTATTTCCACCATATTGTGCTTGCATGATAATACTGGCTTCCCTCCTCTCCCCTACTCCCTCACTCCCCTTTGCCAGTCTTTCAGGAATACCTAGTCTAGAGTAGAAAATAAGACATTTATAGGCAGAAAAAGTTAGAGTTTGCTATTGACTTTATGATGTAGACAACATTATGGGGTCAAACTGAACTCTCTCAAGCCTGACCCGAAGATCACTTCCTGTCATCCAACCATTGTAGATAATCTCCAAATATCATTTATGCTCATAGCTACTTTTAAATTACCGTAGTTAATCCACCATGTTAGCATAACTCTATATCACAGATTTGTTTTTTGAATGGTTAATTATATTTTATTACAATTGGCTTCCACTGTTACCCTCTATGTTTTATTTTGTACGTTCAAAAGCATTATTCTGAAATGGTATCCGTAGGCTTCACCAGATTCCCAAAGGGGCCCAAGGCTATATTAGTCAGTTCTCACATAAGACAGACAGACTCAAGACTGAGTAATTTATTAAGGAAAGAGGTTTAATTGACTCACAGTTCAGCATGGCTACGGAGGCCTCAGGAAACTTACAGCCATCGTGGAAGGGGAAGCAAACATGTCCTCCATCACATGGCAGCAGGAAAGAGAAGTATGAGCAAAAGGAGAAAAGCACCTTATAAAACCATCAGATCTCATGAGAACTCACTATCACGAGAACAGTATGGAGATAACTGCCCCCATAATTCAATTACCTCCCACTGGATCCCTCCCACAACACAGGGATTATAGGAACTACAATTCAAGATGAGATTTGGGTGGGGACATAGCCAAACCATATCAGATATAAAGTTTAAGAACCCCTGGATTAAGGGGCTATCATTGTTAAAATTTTCATGAAAGATTTTATGTAGATTATTTTGTAATCCAGGTAATTATATAACCTATAATCCTGAGTGGCATGGACAGACTTAATATTCACCCAGCTTGAGAATACTGAGGTCTAGTGGCATTCTTAGGACTTGAGAAAGTTCCATTTAGGGTAAAGAAAAGGAAGTAAAGTTTCTCACAGCAGCTACTAAACATGGAGCACTTATTCCAAAAAGTCAAAAATACAGCTTTAAAAAAGACACCTTTGATACATGAACACCTGAACATTAATAGATCACTTTGTTAATCATAGACTTTAGGGGTATTTTAAGGTTGGTGTATAGGAGTCCATCCAAACATTCCTTGAAGGGCCTCTGGTGCTCCATCAAGTCCAGTGCTAGTCTTAGCCAAGAGATCAGTCCAGGAAATCCTTATTTTTTTCTTCTGTAGAATGTTGTGAAGGCCCAGTGAAGAATTGCCATCTTTGTGTTTACCTCCTCACTGTCACTCTGAAATGCTTGAATATACTACCTGTTCTTTCTCTTGCTTGTGCACAGGTTGGGCAGATGCAGATTCTGAGACAACAGATTGCCAATGAATTAAATTATTCTTGTCGGTTTGACTCTAAACATCTGGCAGCTGCTCTGGAGAATCTCAATAAGTAAGTGCCAGCGTTTGAAACAGCCATCTGTGGGCTTGGATTGTTCATCATCTAAGCACAGTTCTTACTCTTTTAAGTTACTTTTAGGTGAGAGGTCTGAATTTATAGGCTTCCTTGCCAATGGATAATCAAAACTGTCTTCAGGAGCCTCTTTCCTCATTATTGTCCCCTCCGTGTATCTCTGTATCTCACTCACTTTCTCTAATGGATTCATTTATTCAGCTGACATTTACTAATCACATGATTCAATACATGTCGGCTGATTAAATGAATCCATTAGAGAGAGTGAGTGAGAGACACATCAGACACTGCTAGATACTTGCATAGATTTTAGAAAGCAATTAATACCAAAATCTACAACTGGCTTTCTACAGGGCTGATCACTCATCATCCAGAGGGCAGTTGGAAGTATGTTGATTACCACGAGTGGTTATGGAGTCCTGTCCCAGAGGGAACTCAGATCCTCCGCCTCACCAGCAACCTGCTGTCATTTGAGGCTGCCTACTTAACAGATAAATAATCCCTGCTTCTCACTCACTAAGTCAGTGCTTTTGACAAAGCAGGTATTAAGAACAGTTCAGTCAATTCATGAAAATTTGAATGGTGAGTGCATTTAATTGAGGTTGATTCCAAAAGATAAAGTAATTCTACGTCAAATTTTCCACTTCAAACTAATCACAGGCATGGATTGAGAATTGAGGGGATCAAGCTCTCATTTTACAGATAAGGAAACTGATGCTTGAAAAGATTACGTCACTGGCCTGAATTAACTCTTATATAAATTTATTTAATCACTAATGTTTATCTCTGGGGTTTTTCTTCATTTAGGGCTCTCCTAGCAGACATTGAAGCCCACTATCAGGACCCTTCGCTTCCTTATCCCAAAGAAGACAACACACTTTTATATGAAATCACAGCCTATCTGGAGGCAGCTGGCATTCACAACCCACTGAATAAGGTGAATAATTGAAATACATAATGGTGGGGGTAGGGGAACAGAATGGTACAAAGGGGATTTAGCCCAGGTAACAGATCACTGTGCAGAGATACCAGGAGAACCTGGGTTCAGACCCCGGAGCCTTCATTCCATTCAGTTCCCTGCCCTTTCTAAGCAGTCATCACACTTTCCCCGCCTGGCTCAGGTCTGTGAGAATCAAGTGCTATAGCGCTAGTGAAAGCTCCTGACAAAGCGAAAAGTGCTGCATCAGTGTAAGAGATTAGTTTTGGGTTTCACTGGGGTTTGCAGTTCAGTCATCAAGACACAGCAAACCCAAAATGGTAGCATTGATGTGTCTTTCCCAGAGGTGTTTCCCCTTGGGGCTGCCACTAATCCTAGTCATCATAGGAGCTACAAATTCTTTCCTGCAGCTCTGAGCTCAGAAAACCTCTAAGAACTGAAAGTTTTTCATAACTCGGTGCCAGATCTCTTTGGGTGGCAAAATCTGTCCCGAGCTGACATAAGGCTGTTTATACTATTTATCTTCCTTTCTAGAAACATTCAATGTTTTAATGCAGACTTTGATTATAGTGCACTACCGTATCCCCTATATTATCTTTCTAAAATCTATAAAAATTTGAAATTCTGGAGGCTGAGGCAGGAGAATCACATTGAACCCGGAGGGCAGAGTTTGCAGTGAGCTGAGATCATGCCATTGCACTCCAGCCCAGGCAGCGGCAGTGCAAGTCTCCACCTCAAAAAAAAAAAGAAGAACATTATAAACCTGAATAGTAGCTAATGTCTTAAATATTTACTATGTAACAAGTGTACTCTCTTAACCCTCATCATGGATTATCTCACTTAATCTCACAACAACCCCTATGAAAGATGCCATTATGAGGTGAGGAACCTGAGGATCAGAAGGTAACTAGCAAGTGGAGGAGCGAGGCAGTCTGACCAGAGCCCGTGCTCCTAACCCATGTGCTACCCTGTCTCCTGTGGAATCAGCCAGCTAGGAGTCTGGAGCTGGCTGTGTACTCCCTGACTGTAGTTTCTGCTGTGATATCTGGAAGAGAGACTGCTCTGTGACATTGCCCAGGGAACAGCAAATGACAGAGAAGAACTTTGCTGTCTTTCTACTTAGATACCACCACTCACTGCTACACAGATCTTTTCCCTTCACTCTTCCTCCTCGTCCTCGCCTTCTTCCTTCTTTCCATCTCTCCCTCTTCTTCCTCCTCCGGCACTCCCTCTGAATTCCCCTCCAGCTCTGCCTCCACTGCTCTTCATTTTGCCTTCCCCTCCCATTCTTTCTCATCACTCATTCCTCCCTCTCTTTATTAATGACATTAACAGGATTCAGGGGGAATGTCACTCTAAGCAAAATTGGTTTTGGCAAATTGTGATACTGGTATTTAGGTGGGCAGGGCCAGGTGTGTTAAATAAAACTCTGAAGGCAGCAAATGAATGGAACCATCCATGTTTCAGGAAGGCCGAAGTGCAAATTGAAGTAAAATTGAAGCTTTTCACTTGGAAACCTATTCTGTGGTACTGTGCAGTATGAATTAACCATACATTTTTCTTACCTTTCTCTTTCCAGATATACATAACAACAAAGCGCTTGCCCTATTTTCCAATTGTCAACTTCCTATTTTTGATTGCTCAGTTGCCAAAACTTCAGTACACCAAAAATTTAGGTAGGTATGACATTTATTCTTTGCAGTGAGTAACACTACCAGCAGATTTACAACTAACTAAATAGGTTTTTGTATAGAATGCCTATGTCAGATATGAGATCTTTTCTTAAATTTGTGTTTATGAAATTCAAGTCTTTGTGCTTCTGAAATATGATGCCCTTTTATGAACTGTAGACAGTGGATTTATAACTTATTTATTTATTTTTGAGATGGAGTTTTGCTCTTGTTGCCCAGGTTGGAGTGCAGTGGTGCGGCCTCGGCCTCTGCCTCCCAGGTTCGAGCGATTCTCCTTCTTCAGCCTCCCAAGTAGCTGGGATTACAGGTGCACACTACCACACCTGGCTAATTTTTTTGTATTTTTAGTAGAGACAGGGTTGTACCATGTTGACCAGGCTGGTCTCAAGCTCCTGACCTCAGGTGATCCACCCACCTCAGCCTCCCAAAGTGCTGGGATTACAGCTGTAAGCAGCCACACCCGACTAGATTTATTTTTTTTTAATTATACCTATTTTTTTTTTTTTTTAAGGCACCTATAATCCCAGCTACTCAGGAGGCTGAGGCAGGAGAATTGCTTGAGCCCAGAAGGCAGAGTTTGCACTGAGCTGAGATCACATCATTGCACTCCAGCCTGGGCAACAGAGCAAGACTCTGTCTCAATAATAATAATAATAATAAACATTTATAACTGAAACATTCCCCCATTTAATGCCAGTGAAAGGATAGGCCTTTCTGTTGGTTCTTTCTACTCTGTAATTATCCTAGGAAAGGGGCATGTAGCAGCACAGCCTCTAAAGTTAAAAGCTTGGCTTGTTGATTCAGACCTTTGTTTCAAAGCTTAGCTCTTCTGCTTACTCTCTGTATGATCTTGGCCAAGACTGCTTGAGTCAAACAGGTGATTTTGTCCCACCTAAGAGACATTTGATGATGTCTTTGATGAGAGATATTTTTGGTTGTCACAACTGGGGTGGGAGTTGCTGCTGGCATTTAGTTGGTGGAGGCAGCTAAAAATCCCACAATACACAGGACAACCCTCACAACAGAGAATTAGCTGACCCAAAATGTGAACGTTGCTGATAGTAAGAAACCCTATTTTAACCTTTCCAAGCCTCCATTTCTACATCCAAGAATTGAGGTTAGTAACAGTACCTATTTAATCATTTTTGTGATGGTTAAATGAGATAATCCATGTAAAATGCTTAACCTAGTGCCTGACACATAAATGTTCTGTTAATATAAAAATTTAAATCTTATTATCATTATTATCATAATGAGTACTAATCCGGATATTTAGGCTGAATTAAAAGAATATGTGGCCTACTACCTATAGCCATGCAGCCAGGAAAATTCATTTGCATTTTTCTTTCATCTGATGAAAATGTGTAAAGAACAAGGAAAAGGGGGAATGAAATAGAAGCCCTTCTTGCTTAAGAGTCAAATAAGATAATGAATCAGTTAGGTACCATTATACTTTATTCTAAAATCTACAAAAATGATGCTCAATCCAACTCAGGTAAATAGCTTTCTTCATGTTGATGTCATTTTTTCTTCTCTCTTTGCTTTCTTCTTTTTATATGATATTGTGAAGTTACAGCTCCTTGCCTCCCCACATCTTTTCAAATTTTAAATTTTAAAATCTTTTCTGAGCTGGACACAGCGGCTCACACCTACAATTCCAGTACTTTGGGAGGCCAAGCTGGGAGGTTCACATGAGTCCAGGAGTTTGAGGCAAGCCTGGGCAACGTAGCAAGAACCTGTCTCTAAAAAAAAGAAATTCTGTTTTTTAATTAGCCAAGTGTGGTACCACCTACCAACAGTCCCAGCTACTTGGGAGTTTGATGTGGGAAGATACCTTGGGCCCAGAAGACCAGTGCTACAGTGAGCAATTATCATACCACTGTACTCCAACCTGGGCCACAAAGTGAGACCGTTTCAAAAAATAAATAAAATAAAATCATTTCTGGTTAGCAAGGATTTGGGAGACATTATATGAATAGAAAGTGTTAGCCAGGACAAAGCATTGGTATATTTCAAAATGAAAGTTGGCCAGATGTTGTGGCTCATGCCTGTAATCCCAGCACTTTGGGATGCTGAGACAGAAGGATCACTTCAGGCCATGAGTTTGAGAACAGCTGTGACAACATAACCAGACTACCAAAAAAATTAAAAATAATAACCTGGGTGTGGTGACACATACCTGTAGTCCCAGTTACTCAGGAGGCTGAGGTGAGAGAATCACTTAAGCCCAGAAGGTCAAAGCTACAGTGAGCTATAATCATGCCACTACTTTTCTACTGCACTCCAGCCTGGGCAGCAGAGTGAGATCCCATCTCTTAAAAAAAAAAAAAAGGAAAATTAAAACCATGCCACCATTACAGATTATTTTGATAGTAACCAAATGAGCTACTGAAATGTTTGCTATGTTTTCAAA